TCATTGCTAGGTAGGCAATTAGTATTATTATTAGAGAATGCTGAAAAACTTTTGTTCAAGCAATTTTCTGTTGATTGCTTAAAAAATTCTCTCAGAAGAAAACTGACATGAAAAATAAAAATATAATAAAAATGTGCAGAAAAACTGTATTTCATAAAATGATAGAGTGCTGTTCATCTGAGAGCCCCAACCTTTCATTTGAAACAGTATGCTATTCTTATTTCACATTTTTATTTTAAATTATCGCATGGCAATACCATGCTAGTAGCCTATGCTATTAGTTTTCTGATATTGTATTTTTAAAAACAAAGGGCAGCTTCTATGCAGCACTCATTAGAACATCTTATTCTTTCTGGATCAAAGTGACTTCCATTTCATTATAATTAAATGCAGGTTAAGAGGGGATATTTCAATGCATGCTAAGTAGCAGCTGCTCTTGATATTAACAATATAAAAATAAATACAATAAAATAATAGACCATTCCAACTCATGTGATGTCATGAAAAGAATATAAAAATGAAAACCCCATGCAATAAACTTCCAAATAAAATCTTCCAATCCTGATATGATTATCCTCCAACACAAAATGGGTTTGAAATTCCAGTTTTCAGGAGGTTTTGAAAATATTTGTTGCTTTCTTCCAATTCAAAACAACAATAAAAAATGCCACAAAATTGGGAAAAATTAAAATTTCCCCCAAAACAGAAATTTAATGTTTTAACTGGGTCCAGTTATTGCTCCTGCTTTGCAGCTGGGAAAGCTGAGGTACAAGTGAGTGAAATGATCAGGTAGCAGAATGAGGGGTGGGATGAAGGAGTCCTGGCTACCAGTGCCCTGCTCTAAGCACCGCAATCCAGCCTCTCCTTCCCTTCCAGCATCCCCCGCTTCCCTGCCTCCCCCACAAAGAGGTTTCTGTTAAGAGGTATGGTAGGAAACATCATTCCCCCTCTTCATTGAAGCAGTCCTGCCTAGCTCAGTAGGTGTGAAACTTTGCCTGGTGCTATGGATGGAGGGCAGAATTCTCCCAACGACTGAAACATCATCTGAATTTACGTATCTCTATGTCTGGTTTGATCCCAGTTACTAATTACATTGGACGGATTTCCCCTGCCACTGAAATGCAGCCACCTCTGGAGTGGAACACATCTGCTGTTTCACAAAAAAGGATACTATTGAGCAATTTAAAGCAGGAAGAACAAATCTGCATCCAACTGAACCTGTGGGTGGGATATGAGCAGGCACTATTTAAAAAACCCAAAGTAAATATCAGAACAGGAGACCTGGGCTAACAGCTTTACTATAAAATGTCAAGTGAAAAGTGTAGAAGTAATGAATAAAGAAGCATTTCAGATGTCTAGAATCCAGTGGGATCTACAATCCTCCCTTACACTCTCTATATTTGATGGTTAATATTTCTTTGTACAAATGGAACAACATTATATCATGAAATGTATAGCTATATACCACTGGGGTCAGTGGGAGACCGACAAAAACCACACTTGGTACTTTCCAGATGTTAGGGATAATCTTTCAATCCTTCAGTTTTCACATGTAAAACAGCCTAGTGGCTGACAGATTCATTGGTGAATGTTAGCGCTCAGTGGTAGAGGACAGGGAGATATTTCTATGCCCTCCTATTGCAGATCTTTAATTGGGAGCAGCATGGGCAGGTAAGGCAGGTTACAAGCCAGATGAATAGCAGAGAAAGTTAAATCTGATGTGGAAAATATAACTCAGGACACATTAGAGGGAGTCACTGCAACTTGCAAATACTTAGAGGGAAAAAAGTTTTCAGACAGATTCTAAACGAAGGGATGAATAAACATGGGCTTAGTAAACAGAGGTGATGGGAAGTAAAGCAAAGGAAGAGAGAAAAATGAAGCAGGGCAAGGAATGCATGGATGGACAAGGATTTGCTTCCAGCAGGGAAACCCAGCTCCTGTAGATAAAGCAGTGTCCCCCGGAGCCTCCTGGGGCCCTGTCTCCCCTTTAACAAGCCAGACAGATACTTGCCTTGCCCCACTCCTGCATCCACAATCTCAGATCTTCTTCGCTCTGCCCCTTCGGCAGATTAGACTTCTGCTGAGGAGTCATCCTCCTGGCTGGCTGGTGGTTCTTCTTCTGTGTGCATGATTTATTCCCAACCTCACATGTTCACCTACAGACACAGTCAGAGGAGAGAGAGGTGCAGAGAGAGGGGGGAAACCCAGGGAGGGGGCTTGTGACGGGGTATGTTTTACAAGTCCCAATTGTTAGTGGATCAGTCCATTAATCCTTGAGTTCCGAGCTGAGCTCCCAGCCCCCGGGCATGGGAGTGAGTGGAGCAAGTAACATTGCCTGCTTGCTTTTCCTGATCAGCTGAGACAGCATCTAGCTAAGTTGCTCCTCCTCGCACTGCCTAAATAAGGACATTTACTCACAGTAGGCTACACTGTGCTCCCTTCTGAAAGCATTTAATGCTGAAAGTAACCTGGCTGTTCAACGAAAACACAGCACAGAGTGAGTGGAGAAAGGGAACTTGAACTCAGAGTCGCAGGCAGCTGCTTGGGGCAATCCAGTGGGATAATGTCAGCGATGGCCGGGGGATCCCACAGTATGGAAAGGAGGTGCAGGAGTGCTGGTTTTTGCCCAATTTAAAGCCCACCTGAGGGCATTGTGCTGTTCATTCACAACAGAAGTAGACACTTTCGAGGTTCAGTTTTACAGAACCATTCTGGGCTTAGTGTTACTGAACCCTGATCTCTCCAGAGATGCGAAAATATGGGTTTAAAAGAGGACATTTTCTTGCTTACCTAGCCTAGATTCCCCACAGATTGGGCGCCTACCAGTAAAAAGAAGCAGTTTGAATTATGAGAAAAGCACATTTCATTTTGGGCCCAATCCAAAACCAATCCAAAATGATAGAAATAAAAGCTCCATTGGCTTCAGTGGGACGTGGATCAGGCCTGTATTACCTCCAAAAGTTTTCTAAAGGCCCACAAAGCTGGAGAGTTTAGAGCAACTCTGAGCAATGCCCATTTTTCGCCTACCGAATCCTTCTGCATATTCCAGATACTAGGAAACAACCTGGTCTTTATTAGAACAGCAAAACCTTCCCCTAGCAAAGGCAGCCAGGCATTTCCCACTCTGTATTCTTTCCAGATAAGCTCAAGATGTGAAAGCAGAATGGAAAAATTCACACCACTGATGAAGCTGGGAGGAATGTCACATTTCGGGGAGGGAGCGTACGTGAGACAAACAGTTGGGTTTTTACCTTACATATTTCTCCCCTTGCCAAGAAAATAAAAAAATAAAACTTGGAAAGCAATTTGTACTGGGGAAAGAGTAGAGCCTCTGTTGAATACAGACATTTCCACTCAGGATAAAAATCTGCAATTTGTTCCAGAGTAGAAGCTCCACGTATTTTGTTGTGACAAGGAAAACTGCACAATCGAAAGCTAGTGGTAGAATCGTGCTGCTGGCTTAATTTTTCCTCCAAAGTGTAGTCTTTTTTGTAGAATAAAAATTCACAAGGTCATAGTGAGGAGCAGATGTGACAGTGGGTGTCTGAGACTGTCTAGCACTGAAGACAGGTGCCTTTATCACCCCACAGCTGCTGCTAAGAAGACTCTTTTCTGAGCAGTCTTGAAGAGATCAGAACTTGGATGGGCCAAGGGTAATGGACAAGGCCACGTCTGGGGAAGCCAGCTCTCTCTCTGGGTCCTGGCTTAAGCATCTCTGCAGGGTGGTTGGGGGAAGCATGCCTGCCTGTGCCTACGCTGTTCCAAAATACAGCACCTTCTTGATGTTAGTGGGTAATAACTGTTCCCCCCAATGTCTTCTGTCCTGAACACTGGTCTCTCCTACCTGGTTATCAGCTTTTCCTATGACCACCCTAGGACAGTACCTTTGTCACCCAAGCCCATGACTTCTCGAAAGTGGAACTCATACTTGATGGAGACATGAGACGGATGGCAGAGTACTGCCTAAAATGGCACCTCAAACCAAATATATCAAAAAGCGTCTGACGTGTCTTCCATCTGCATAATGCCAGTGCTAAATCACATCTCCAGAAAACTGCTTTAAAAATCAAAACAAGGAATAACCTACTTGCCAAACTTGCAGGCTCCACAGGGGTGCCAATGCCTCCACACTACACTCATCTGCTCTTGCACTGTGTTATTGAGTTGCAGAACACTGTGCCCCTGCACGGGCTCGTTCACACACAGCAAATGAGTGGACACCCAACTGCAAGCTACAGTGCACATTGCACCCCATTGCACTCCCATGGTTACCAGTCCTCAGCAACATTGCTCCCCCTCATCTCTGCCACACAAATGCTGAAGTAAACTTACTAGTCAGACTCCATGATCAAAGCCAGCCCTAGGGGTGTGCGGGGCCAGGGGGTGGTGAATGGCTGGAGTGGGGGGGAGGAGTGGGGGTGCTGAGCGGCTGGGGCAGGGGGCAGGGAAAGGGGGCTGAGCGCCTGGAGCACGGACGAAGGTGGTGAGCGGCTGGAGCGCGGAGCCGGCAGTGTGTGGCGGCCATGGCAGGGGCTGTACAGCACTGTCTGCGGGGCCCCCCAAAGCATGGGAGCTGGGGTAGTCACCCTGATTGGCGCCCCCATAGGGATGACCCTGCCTGTGATAATCCTATGCTGCCAGTGAATTGGGGTATATTCCACCCACGACTAGCTTGCTTCCCTTAAGACGTCCACTATGGTCCACCCTTTCAAAACCCTTTGACTTTTCCTTACTTAATGGCACAAAGAACGGTTGGCACAAGCACCAATTGATCACCACTTCATTTCTGACCCTACAGTCAACCAGCATTTAACTGGCCATATTGTTATTGGGCACTTCTCACTCCTTTCGAACTGGACAGGGTCACTGTGCCTCAAACGTATACCAATGGGGCCTTCACAATGACAACAAATGTCCTTATGTTCAAACCATGTCCCACATTGTTGACTTGTGTCCATTTCCTGTGCTACGTGGTCGCCTTCAAGCTCTTCACGCTGGTGATGACATCACCTTAAGAGGGCTGAAACAATATGCTGAAACTGCATATGCTAAGTAAGTAAATAAATAACTAACAACCATCTTCACAAAGCAGCCTTTGCTAACCCTTACAAATCAGTCCTCAAGCTCCATTTTACTGTGGGACCTATAGGAAATCAGCCAGTTACCTGCGGCTCATCTGTTCATCAGTCAGGAGATCTGATTTTTTCTGGTTAAAATAAAATCAATGCGTCAGTAAATACAGCAGATTATTATTATTTAGAACCATCCCATGGCACTACAGATACACATGCATGCTCAATATCCAGTTTTCTTTACTCTTGCCCTCTGTATTCTCTTTTGCTTATCACATCTCTTTTTTAT